TCCCACCTGGTATTGATCGCCGACCTTCTTGACGGTGCGCTGGAATATCTCGACAGCGCGTTCCTCTTCCCGTCGCGGCCTATTCTTTAGCGAGATACCGATGGAATCGATCTCGTACTGCCGTTTGAGGAGTTCCGTTATCTCCTCGTTTTGACTCGCGAACGTTCGGATGTCCCTATCTATCCGTCCGCTACTGCTTACGACGTGTAACACGGTTTCACCGTCCTCCCTACACGTGAATCGCGGCACGGTTCCTTGTATCACCCATCCTAATAACGTACGTGCAGCTATAGGCTGCCTTCGACGCCCTATCCTCAAGTTACGGGTGATTATTAAATGCCAATTGTCGGCTCCTAATAATAATCTCGGTTTGGCGTCCTCATAGCAAACCGAGCTCGGTAGGTCGCGTAAATGCTTTAGACGTAAACACTCTTTATTCACCGACTGCGAGCCTATCTGTAAATTCGTTACTGTACGCGCATTTATTCTATACATCTCGCTGCGCGATTTTCCACGTATGCCTATGTTGACTAGCCTGCTATCGGCCTCGCGCTGACTATTGCTTATTCCCCTAATATTCAGCGGCTTTACCGGTCCTTTCGCTTCTAACTCACGCGCTAAGTCGTCATCGATCAACGAAATAGTCGAACCTTCGTCGAGCAACGCGTACGTGTCTATTTCCTTACCGTGTGGTCCACGTAACGTAATGGGACACACTTTCAACAATACGGATGCATTCCGACCGACGTTAGACGCGACGAGTACGGTCTCATCCGGTTTGGCCGATGTCTCAGGTGCGCGGGTCTTGCGGGTGTGAAGGAGGGCGTGGTGGGGGGCGTTGCAGCCGTCGATGCCGCATTTCTTTGCTTTACATTTAAACCGTCGGTGTTTACTGTTTAAACATAGAAAACATACCCCGTCTTCTTTTACCCAATTCCACCGGTCGTGCACACCCATTTGCGCTAACTTTTTACACTTTGCGATCGCGTGTTCACCTCCGCAGCACATACAAGAGGCACTACCGGTGTCCTCCTGTGCGGTGAACGTTTTTACGTCGCGAGCCCTATTCTCTACGCGGCGTGTCACTATCCTCTTCGACGGCGGCGCCTCTCGTCTTACGGGCGATTCCTTAGTCGGCTCTACGGACGTATAGGCATGACTCAACGCACGGTCAGCCTCTCTCATCATGAACCTGGACAGTGTAACGATGTCCGGCTCGTCTGCACTCCCGTAGTGCTCCGCATAATCACACCAACGCGACCGTAAGTGAGGGCTTAACTTACTCGTTACCTCCCTAGTAAGCATTGGATTTTGCAGATATCCCTTGCCGTCGACGTTTTGCAAAATGCACACGATATTTTGCAACTTTATTGCGAACGCATTTAGTTCCTGTGCGGTTTGACCCGGGCGCGGAAGGCGTTTCAATTCTTCTAACGCGCGATCGATAATTACTTCTGGGCGGCCGAAACACTGCTCTAATGTTCGCATAATATCTGCTGGATCCTTCGCGGTAAACAGCAGTGCCGATACTACTTCCCTAGCTTCATCGCGTAAGCAGTTTCTTAACCTTGCCATATTTTCCGTATCTGTGAATCCATATAGACGCGTGGATTCTTTCATCGCGGCTTTGAACGCTAACCATTCCGCGGCCGAACCGTTAAAAATAGGCAAGTCCTGCGTCTGCTTCGCGGCAGCGGGCCTAACTCTGACCATATTCTCCAGAGCTTCCGCTAGTCGCTCTATACCCCTATCCTTTCCTCGCGGAGTAAGCGACCTATCTCTATCCCTATCTCTCTCTAGCCTATGCTGTGGCGCTGGCGTCCTATGCGCACCTACATCCCTATGCGGCGACGGTGATCTACGATCCGCGTGGCGATGTGGCGATCTATGTGTAGGCGATAGAGTGCGGCGTTGGACGCGCGACGGCGACGTAACCCGTACACGACGATCCACCTGGTTCATTCCTGCGGCGACTCCATCTTCCCTTTGTACCGAATCTATGCGGCGCGGTTGAACGTTATTCGCTTCCGTCCTCCCCTGGGCATCTTCCCTGTGGTCGTAACCGGTTACCCTGTTCGGTAGGGTCTGCTCTAACTCGATGCGGGGCGCGGGCTGAGAGGGGCGGGAAGGCGACTCCCCCCGCACAGTCTCTACGTTCTCTAACCACCTATCAACGCGTACCCTATTTTCAACTAACTCGTCTTCGTTGACACTTTCCCTATCTGTTTCTTCTTGCAGTTGCGCGACGTCCCTAGCGTACTTCTTCCTAATAAGATCTTCTTCCAACTGCAATTGCTTCCTCCTAATTGCAGCTAGTTCCTCCGCGGCGTTATATTCAATTTGCTTTAATTTAGCTATCGCACTAGCCGTCGACCGGGCTGAACGAACGGAGCGAACCGACGGGGCGCGGGGCGCGGGCCTATGTACGTCTGTTACAGGCGCGACGGTACGTACTATCGAACTGATCTCTGTAGACGGAAGATCTTCTATAATCGCGGCGAGTGTCTCTGTACGCGGCGCGGAAATGCTAACCTCTCCCAAACGATCGGTCGTGGACACGGACATAGCGGGGCGCGGCGGCGGGGGCGCGGGCGCGGGCGTAGATGCGGGCGCGGGCGGGGCCTGGAGCGCGGGCGCGGCGGAGGGCGCTTGTGCCATCGCGAGATAATCGGACGGGGACGCGGGTGCTTCTTCGAATATGCGCATTCCTACCGGCGTGTCATCATCGTTCCGTGTCTTCTGGCTTCGTGTCTTCCTCATGGTCCCACGTTGCGACCTCCGGTCGTCTTCAAAAAGACGTACGTACAGTCTTTAAAAAGACACACGTATGGATGTCGTTCCCGCCACAAGGGCGTTACCAGATGGTCACAGTTTGGCACCGTTAGGGAGTGACCACTGGCCGCGTAAACGCGGTTAAGAAACAAGAAATTGTCTGGAAACAGACAATAGACGCGTATGACGTAGGCGTAACAAGAAACAGGGAAGAAATTAGTACCGACGATCTTCTCTCTTCGTCGACGAACTTCTTTCTTCCTTGAAGATCTTCTATAATAATCTTCTCTCTTCTGTAATTATGTTCCTTCTTCTATAACTGCCTTCTTTCTTGTTTCTTCTTACTTCTTTCTTCCTTCTTCCGGCTGCTATCCGGCGACGATGGACCAAGATAAAGTGGATGGAGAGTAGTGGACTGTATTTGGTATTTTAACTGGCGGTGTGAGGTTAGCTATACTAGGGGACTGCTCGAAGAAAAGATGGTACTTTTAATTATACTATATTCACTATTTACAAAGGTTCGGCACTATTAACTAATCACTATACAAAAGGGAGGTCTTCAGTATGGAGTCTTCTGTCTTGATTCTTCCTTGTCTTCTCGAGTGCCGCTTCCGAATGAAACCGAATGAACCCGAATGAACAACGACCGTCCGAGGCGCCCTTCTTATATTTCCGAGAAGAGCGCTTCATTTCGTCGGGTTAGCCGCCCGATGGCAATTTTCGCCGCACGCGCGCTGATTGGTTGCCCGATATCGCGTGATCAGCGCCGGCGTGCGGGGTGCGCGGGACGTAACGGGGAACGAAGGGGCGACGGGGCGGCGGGTCTCTCGCTGTCCGTAACAATATTATATTAGACTAGCTGTTCCAAGCAACTTCACCCATGTGTAATTTAGGGTTTTAATTATATTGCGCGGAACCCTAATACTTTTTGTAAAATATAAGTAGTCTAAATTACTCCTTATAACATCAGCTATCTGCCAGTGAAAGTCCCGTCGAAATCGGCGCAGCCGTTTCGGAGATTAGCCGGAACAAACAGACAGACAGACAAAAATTTAAACAATTGTGTTTTTGTTATATACTTTCATATGCATTTAGTAAAAACCTGGTATTTTGACATTACAAACAGACACTTCAATTATATTTATTTGTATAGATATATTTGTTATTATTGTGTTTATAGGTGGTAAGTCTTTTGACAGTTAATATCCGCCATATTTATTTTATGCTTATGTCATGTAAACTTTGTTATAAATAAGTAGGTAATCCGCGCAATTGTGACAAATCGAATAACTATTATTAATCAAAAACTGACGACCAGTTTAGAAGTTGCCTTTTAGCTTCCGTCGCAGTAAGGAAAAAATAATATACAACTCGGCAAAACGATATTCATTATTTTAAGGTAATAATTTTTTACGTGGTAGAGTCATGTTGCAGCTACATATATTAATAGTATAGTTGTAGCACGAATGGGTCGGCTCGGCCGGGGAATGACCACGCTCTCACAGAATACCAGCGTAAAATAACAGCTTAATGCTGCTGTGTTTCGTATGGTGAGTGTAGAGAACCGGAGCCTCATTTTGCTGGAAAAGAGGTATTCCATCTTAGTCCTCACGGCTGACAACGCATCTGCATTTTAATACGCAAACGAATATAGATATAGATGTCTATGGGCCACATCAACCACTTACCATCAGGTGGACTGTGTGCTCTTTTGTCACCCTTCTTCTATAAAAAATAAAATTAAAAAAATTCGGATGACAACCCGCACGCCAAGCGTGGCAATTATAGCGAATATCCCCCACATGAGGCAACTAAGAAGACTTTTGATAGGCTATATTTTTATATATTTCTTAGAAAACAAACATGTTGACACACTGCTAAATAGTGATTGCAAAACTGTTGTGATTTTTTTTTTAGTTCATTAGAGGCAATATAATTGCAATCACACATCACAAGTCCACTGCTATACCAGATAGACCAGTTGGAATCGATAGGATGTTATCATCTAAATACATAATTCCAAAGCGCGAAAAAAACATTGACCAGAAATCGCGGTCACGCTCTTGACGCTTGTAAATAAGTTATTAAACATGTGACCGGTTACAAAAAGGCTTATTCATGTAAGGCCTTGAAGCGTCGAGCTCAGTACTATATATGATTCAATCGCGAGCGACCGTGTTGGTATCAAAATCATTATCAACTTTTGATAAACAAAATTCAAAAATCGAATGGATTTCACCGGCAAAGTTGTTATTGTTACGGGTGCTAGCTCCGGTATTGGTGCTGCTACAGCAAAGATCTTCGCTGCTCATGGAGCCCTGGTCACAATCGTTGGAAGGAACGAAGTGAGACTTACAGAAGTAGCAAACATCTGTCAAGCTTCAAAAGGAAACAGACCGTTATGCGTTCAAGTGGATCTTGTCCAAGAAGGCAGCTGTGAGACAGTAGTGAATAGGACAGTACAACATTTTAGGAAAATCGATGTGCTAGTTAACTGTGCCGGTAAAGCTCTAGTGACTTCACTGTTCGAAAATTCAATGGACAGCTTTGACGAATTAGTGGCTCTAAATCTTCGAGTGCCGTATAAACTTACTCAACTCTGCGTTCCGTACTTGACTTTAACCAAAGGTAATGTGGTGAATGTATTCGGAAATCCTTGTAAAGTGCGACCCGGTTTCCTCCTAGTTTCTATGATTAGAGAGGCTTTGGAGTGTTTCACGAAATCTGGCGGCTGGGAACTGGGTTGCGAGGGCGTCAGGATGAACGCGGTTCAACCAGGGCTCACCCGGACAAATTTTCTATCAAACTTTAATGTCGATGCTGATCACATGGAGACCGCGTACAGAGAGATAGCGCAGTCAATCCCCAATAGGACTATTAACCAACCAGAGGACGTAGCGAAGATGATACTATTTGTTGCTAGTGATAGCAATCCCAATTTAAATGGTTCTTGCATAGTGTTGGATGGTGGTTCTTCAGCTTGTTAGAAAGGAATAACTGGATCATATGATGAAATAGGGGATAGAATATTACAATACAAACTTTTAAGTGTGATTGATTTGTGGCGAAAGTAACTTTTTAACTTACTTAATATTAAGACTTTTTTTATAAATACGTCTAGAATTTTTGTAATAAAACTATAATCAAGCAAAGAATGTCCTATTACATATTACATAAAAACTAACAAAATGAAGGTAGTGTAAGGCTATGTCGAAGTAGGCAGTTATCGTAAAATGCGAATTAAGTAAGAAATATAAAAACTTGTCTAAACAAAAACAATATAAAACGAAGACGCGCCCAGTTATGAATTGCTTAAAGATCATTGACTTATGACATTATACAATAATTGTAATAAGGTTTAAAATAGCATAACAATCATAGTACATGTTTTTATCGTACGTATCGATTAGTAATAATAACAGCTGATAATGCGAACTGTGTTAGCTGCAGGCTTCAGAATTTTTAATAAATAAATGAGGTCACTTATTTAATGTTATTCAACACAAAATAAATCAATTTAAGTAATAAATTTTGTGCAATTTCTCGGAAAGCTTGCCCACATTCCGCTGTGAACTTGTGCACAAAGGTACACAAAGTAAATGAGAACATTTTCGGTATTCGATGGGGTTTGGCTATTACATACAAGTTGATAAGATGAAAGTGGAAAAGGTAAACATTAGAATAAAGGTTCTATTTCACCTGATATTGTTAATGCTACTAAATTTTAAACTCACATTACGCTTTAGTTAACAAACGTCGCCATATTTATTTGCAATCATAATTCAATTTTTTTAAACAAACCCTACACTATTATTTTCTCCTGTATCGTGAAAACCTTGCAAGAATTGCACACAATTATGTGTAGGTCATACAAATAATTTGTTCTGTGTGAGATTCGAACCGGCGGCCATCAGCGCTTCAACTAAAGTTAAGCCAATGCGCCACGGAGCCGGCGTATGTAATATACTGACGATGAAATTTGAATATACCAAACATATATACAACGATATGTTTGAAAACAAATATTCTATTTTTATTTACACATGCATGCAAGCCAGCGATAAAAAATGCAGCAGTTGACAAATGTGATTTCACGAACAATACATAATCCGAACACTAGTGAATTAAAAAAAAAACAGGCACCAGCAACAAATCGTTGCGATTAAAACATTTAACAATGAACAAAAACCGTCCGAAAAAAATATTGCGTTGTGTTTTTGAATTAAATGTGAAATCTTTTTTTTTAATTTCCCGCGCGGGAGAACAATATGTCAAGGCGACATGCGGAAAGTAAACGTGAAGTGACAAACTTTGTTCAGTGTGCCTATTGTCATGTTTGAGACAGTTTAAAACACTTTAATGAGACGCGAAATATGTTATTTCGTTCTCTTCGAAAAAACACAATGACGTCATCAGCATAAAATACGGTTGTAGTTGTAGTAGTTTGACGAATTTAAACTCATGTTTGACAAAATGCTACGTCTGGTAAGTTTAGACAATCTTAAAGTAATTTCATTTTAAAACGGATGTACAAAAAAATTCGCCTTTTCTAAAGACAGTTAGTAGAATAAATAGAAGTCTTTGGCATGAACGGACATAACGTTTTGAAGAATATATATAACATTTTGTCGTACGATATCTTTCGAACAAATCAACAGATCGAGATGGGCGACGGCGGCGTTCGAAAGTGCTCATTGAGACTTCGAGCTGATTAGAATTTCAAGTCAATCAATCGAGCTGTTTCAAAGATTTTCTAAAAATAAAAAACAAAAATTAAATACATTTTCGACCGTTGCGCTCGAAAATAAGCGGCAAGTTCCAGGGATGGCCTGCAGGGTCAACCGCATTTACCTGTGTTATGAGCGTATTATGCGCAGTAGAACCAGAGTAACCGACATAGCCAACGGATCAGTAAGTTGAAGTGGCAATGGGCCGGCCATATAGCTCGAAGAACCGACAATCGCTAGGAAGAAGACGACCTGGTTGGATGCAGGCGGCGCAAGACTGTGCTTTGTCGGAAAATCCTAGTGTGGGAGTAGGGATTTAAAAAAATGATTTTATTTTTGTATAATATAAATAGATATAAATGAATTATATATTTATTAAAATGATTCGCAATTTATAACATGATATTGCGCCCTGAAGCTATTTAATGTTTGCAGTGTTCAAATTAAATATCGGCAGAGTTTGATCAAATTTGTTTGAACGGCAATTAAGATTCAACGCACAATTTTCCATCCAAATTCACACATTTGTGATGTTATTATCGAACAATTGAACGAATGTTCAACAATGTGTTTTAAAATTAAAATGTACAATACCTAAATTAAACGACTATTATCTACACATTGAATAAAACTATTTTTACGGAAATCCGTAAAAATAGTTTTATTCAATGTGTAGTGTTCGCGTAAATATAAGAGACTATTATCTATTACAAGATAAGATAACAAAAGTCACTGATAAACGGCTATAGCGATAAATACTTATTTATTAATTTTTTTTTATAAATCTTAAGAGACAAACGAAGTTACAGTCCGTCTAATGGTAAGTGGCCACTGCAGCCCATAGACATGTACAGACAAATACAAACAAAGGAGACTACAGATTACTTGTCATCTCTGAAGACAAAGGTGATGCGTCACAGCCTATACTAATACGGTCTCCCTATACCTTTCAGACCGGGACATGGCAGGGCACACACTGCTGTTTGGTGGCAGAAATATGTAAAGGCGTGGTACCTATCCAGACAGACTCCTGGACCAAAAAGGAGGCCCTACATTGAGTTATATGTACAACGTACTAGAGAAGCTATTCCAAACAAAAATTGTGCTCTACTCTATGTCTTCGCGCATGCGCGGGAGATAGTAGAGTCGCGCATGCGCGACGACTTTAATTTAATATAAAATAAGATATTAATATAAAATAAATATAAGAATTTAATATAAAATACTCTTTATTTTATATCTAAACAAACGTATTTCTAAAAAAATTAAATAATAATTATCTTAGGGAATTCACAAATCTTCAATTTACGCAATATTTAGTTTAGTGTACGGACTGCAGTACAGTTCAGTTGAACATAGTCAATGTTCGAAATGCGAAATCTAGTAGTGCATATATATCGATGAGGCCCTACAGCCTAGTATACATAAATAAGATATATAACAATCGTCTGGATCATTGCACTGAGTCTGCCTAATCAATTAAATTGCAATAGAACCCAATATTTTTCGCTTGTACGAGTACATTGGTTTATCACTATTTAGTGGCGGCGTGAATGAATTCACCATCTTGTAAATAACAATAGAGTGAATTAAAAATACGGTCCTTTAGGCATAGAATTCAGCATTAAGACTAGCGCCTAAATTAACTGTTATAGTAATATTTATAATAGTGTCCTCCAGACCAAATTTAGATCACGGCGGCCATTCTCAACGAAGACTTACCATCGGCGCAGGACAGGATTATAGTGCCCAAGTGCATGCGCAAGTACAGGCCCTATTCCCGCACTCTCATAATCCGATAGGACGGTAATCCAACACGACCGTAGAGATGTCAAGCGCTGGACCAACAGCTTTAATGTGCATTCCGAGAACACCGCCAGCTTCCTGACTCTGGGCTGCTACTGAGAATTTATTCGCTGAAAACCCCAATATTTTTGACCCTACCCGAGATTCGTACTCCGGAAATGAAAACAGTCGTGTTTACGACTACTAAATTAATGAGACAGTCAACACTATTATAATATTTATGTAGGTGCAACATTGTAACGCATTTTGTTGACATCACATTTTTGTATGTCATTGTCACCCACACCGTTCGCCCAGTCATGCCAGTCGTACCTAAACCTCCTAACTGAAATAACGTCTAATAACTTTCAGCGTAAGGAACATTATTGTGAAAGTGAATAGACCTTGTTATCTGACCAAACTCAAAGTTTCATTCCTCTCCAAATTATTAACCCTCGCCACTGTAACTCAGTGAACACTTAATGAACAGAACTACTATAAATTATACATTAATTTTACAATTTAAAGTACGACTGTTATTTTAATCAATAATAATAATTGATCCACGGTATACTGGAAAACGACAAAAGCATACTCTCCTGTTTCACTAAACAATATTAGGTAGATGAAAGATGGTCTTTCCTTAGGCATAAAAATATATATAATATAAACCATAAACTTCAGAAGAATGTATGAATGGAAGGAGAAAAATTATAGTTTCTTTCACACACAGTGATATAATCGCTGCGGCATTCACAGCTAACGAGGTTCGTTAACAGCTCAGTGTGAAAGCTAGATCTAGATCTAGATTTGTGTAGCTATTAATTTCCTATACGGAACAAATTCGGGGCGGTCGGAGTGTGAGCGTTTTTGGTAATACAATTCGATCAGCGTCAGTAGCCTAATGGCAGGGTGCGGAACGCGAACTCAAAAGATCGTGGGTTCTCTATCTAACACAACCTGCCCAGCCGACTTAAATCCGACTAAAAACATCTCGGTCAAAGTGGGACTTACCTAGTCGGATTATTTGCCCCAGGTAAATATACTCCTCAACAACTTCGAGCTTAGTGCTTTCAATTACTACCGGCATAGGTGTGATGTGACATGGACGTTACACGTAATCTTTATTTTGTCCGTGTTCATCTTTAGACCTATCTGTTGGAAGGCATTATTGAGATGCTTAGGTCCTCCAGTGATTCTGTCATAAGGACTATATATATCGTCGGCAAATCAAAGGTGAGAGATGTTCATACCGTATTCGCCATTGATGTTAAACCGTATTCTTTCCAGTCCAATAGATTTAAAACGTTTTCCAAAGCTGCGGTGAAGAGTTTCGAAGATATACCATTACCCCGTCTTACACCTCTCTGCAGATGGATGGGATTCGTACTCTGGTTCTGTACTCAGAGAGCCATCGTAGCCCTCCTGTACAAACATTTCAGCACTTCGATATACCGACAGTCAACTTGGCACCG